GGGGCCATGTTGCATAAACTCTGCTATGGATAATTGTTCTCCTTACAGCCACTTTAAGACACCAGATAACCTTCCAGCTTTTACATTCTAGCTCCTTAGATGCCATTGATCACCTTGGCCTTCATCACTGCTACTATGTCACTTTCCTAAGGTCACTCAAGGTGCCATGTGAAGCTGCTTATTCTGTTCTACCATTCTCCTCATGGACAACTAAAGAAGGAACAAATGAAAATAAAAAGAGCTAAGGCTTATTGAGCTCCTATTATGTGCCAAGCCCAGGTACTTTACATTCTTTTCTTTCTCTTAACTCATATCATTTTTGTTTCTGCTTTGGTAGTTAAAGGTGAATTATATAACCCCGAAATAGCATTTCTAAAATATAAGACTGTTCTCCTATATGCCAAAAGAATCACATTTAATAAAGTTCATTTCACATTTGATAAATTTAGTAAATCCTTCACTGCATCCAATATCCAATCCAAATCTAAATTTTCCCAGTTGTCCAAAAATGTCCCCCACAGTTGGTTTCTCCAAACCAGAACCCAATCCAGGACAGTGCACCTGGTTGTCGTGCTCCTTTATGTCTCTTTTAATCTAGAAAAATACCCCTTTTTCATCGACTGACTTGTTAAGGAGCTGGGGCCAATTGTCCTGTAAAATGTCACACTTTCTGGATTTGTCTATTTGTTTCCTCATAGCATTTGTTTAACTTGTATGTCTGTCTCCTATCTTTCCTGGAAACTTGTATAGCTAAAGCCTTAAGTTAAACATCTGTGGCCAGATAGAATATGTCATCAGAGGACAACTAATATCTGCTTGCCTAACCATTAGTGATGCTAAGATAGAACAGTTTCTCAGCCCTCCAGTGAGACTACCAGTGGTCTACAAAACATTGGGCTACATTAGGCCTTAAGTAGGTTTCAGTGAGGTAACCTGCAGTCTTGACCACCTGAGCAACATTATTGCAGTGAAAAAACACTTTAGAATCCTTAGCAACCCATCACAGGCTAACATTTGGAAACATTTTCTTTTAAAAACAAACTGCCTGTAGTGAATTTCAATTAAAAATGGAACTCAAGGGCACCTGGGTGGCTCAGAGGTTGAGTATCTGCCTTTGGCTCAGATCATGATCCCAGGGTCCTGGGATCAAGTCCCACTTCGGGCTCCCCATAGGGAGCCTGCTTTCCCTCTGCCTGTGTCTCTGCCTCTCTCTTTCTGTGTATCTCATGAATAAATAAATTTTAAAAACTTTTTAAAAATGGAACTTAAACTCAATGGGCTTGCTTTTTCTTCTCCAGGCCTGTGATGTATGTTGTCAACAGCAAGCCCTGACCATGGCACTGCCCAGTATGAAGGCTACGGTGACAGGTCCAGGTCTCTGATGTGCAAGTCCCCAGTTTCTCCCCTTCTCCATTCACAACCAGCTTTCCAGCCTTTCTTTATCTTTGTGGTTCCTCTATGACCCCTTCATGTTTCCTATCCCCCAGGGGGCCCTGAAGTGAACACAACATTTTTAGCAAATGCTGTGAGACACAAATCCTTTATTGCACTTCAAGTTTGAGGATCTTAAGAATTAGCAATTGTGAAATGGATTTGCAAATTTGAATCAAAAAACTTAAATTCATAAGAACTTTTATCCGAAAGACACAGGAGAACTGGGCTTTTAAGTGCTATCTTGAGTACTTCTTGATCTTCAGCAATTATTCAGGAAATCAATAATGATAATATGATGCTGAGAAAAATCAGTGTAACTACCATTATAGTAATGCTCCACTTATGAGCTGCTTGAACCAGAAGTTAAGTGTGGTTAAGAAAGTCTGGAAATTCCAAAGACCCAAAAATCTGCTTTCAACCTACCTTCCAGGGGAAAGAAATAATCCTTGGAAGTAGAATTGAGAAACTTAGTCAATATACTAATTGTATTTTCATTAAAAGTACAAAGCAGTGGCGGACACCTGGGTGGCTCAGTCCGTTGAGCATCTGACTCCTGGTTTCAGCTCAGGTCATGATCTCAGGGTCGTGAGATGGAGTCTCACATCAGGCTCCATGCTCAGCAGGGCGTCCACTTGAAATTCTCTCTCTCTCTCTCTCTCTCTCTCTCTCTCTCTCTCCACCCCTACCCTTGCCCCCGATCTCTCTCTAAAATAAATAAATAAATAAATATTTTTAAAAACTTAAAAAGTACAAAGCAAAAAAAAAAAGTACAAAGCAGGGAATATAGAAGTGGAGTAAGTATATAAAGTCCTGTATATGGGGTGAGGGGTTAGTGGAAGTAGTTAATTTAAATGAAAACAGATTTAAATCTATTGAAGTCATTTTCCCCAAAGCAGAGAAGACAAGAATATAAATCTCTAAAAACTAAGGAAAGTTTGTGTTGTTCTCACCTAAAATGAGGCAATCCCAATCCCTTACAAAGGCAGATCTATGCTGGTGATCCAGATAAAAAGATCTTTGTTAGAAGAAGCAGTAAATTTATTTTATGAACGTGTAGGGTAGATAAACAGGTAATATATAGAGGCAGATTTCATATCAATGTCAGGAAGAATTTTTTGTATGGCAAACTATATATAATATAAATTTATCACTTTAACCATTTTTAAGCATACAGCTGTGGCATTAAGTACATTCATATTGTTGTGCAACCATCACCACCACCACCATCTACCTCCAGAACATTTCCATCCCAAACTGACACTCTGAAACACATTAAATAGTACATCCTCAGGTCTCCCCCAAGACCAGTCCATGGCTACCACCGTACCATTTACTGTGTCTGATTTTGACTACTACTCTAAAGCACTTCATATAAGGAAAATCACACGATAGCTGTCCTTTTGCATCTGGCATGGTTCACTTAACATAATGTCTTCAAGTTTCATCTACATTGTAGCATGTATCAGAATTTTACTCTTTTTTAAGACTGAATAATATTTCATTTTATGCATGTGTGTATGCTACATTTTGTTTATCCATTCATCCATAGATGGACATTTGGGTTATTTCCATCTTTTGACTATTGTGGATAATGCTGCTATGAACATAGGTATTCACATACCTGGTTTTATTGACATTGGGTATATACCCAGAAATAGAACTTGTTGGATCATACATACATCATACATACGTACATAATTAATACAGTAATTTTATGTTTAATTGTTTGAGGAACTGCCATACTGTTTTCCAAGCTACTGCACTATTTTCCATTCCCTGAGCTGAAGGTAGATGCTTAACCAACTGAACCACCAAGGCACAGCCAGAGAAGGAACTTTTAATAACTAGACCTGTGCCACCGTGGGGTGAGCTGTTCCCAGGATGTAGGGACTGATTAATGTGCTCTACCAAAGACTGGATAGACTAACATGTTCAGTTATGCAAGTTGTGCACTGTCCAAGTGTGTCTGGTTGCAGGGTGAGTAGGGACTAAAATCCAGCACATGTTTCATATTCCAAGGTGTGAACCCTGGTGTAGAACTGCCTCTTCTGGAAGGAAGCAATAATTTTTTCTTCTCTGGAAATACTGCCAGCTTGCCAAGCCATATGCTTGAAAGGGGACCTTTTTTTCCATGAAAACTAAGGCATCCATTTATGGAAGCTATCAGTTATCTTGACTGACTGACCCTCTGTCATGAGAAAGCTGTAGATAGAATAGATTAATGCGCAGGATAATACCTAGTCCAGTTGGACTACATGACTGTTAAGGCCTCATTCAATGATGATATTCTGTGCATCTCTCTGATTATTTTACAAGATGCCCTCTTAAACTTCTTTGCACACCTTGCATTGACAGGTGGAGGCAATATCCCCTCACCTTGAATCTGTGACCAGTGACTGCTTCATAATAGTGTTCTACAGAAGTGACACTGTACCAATTTCCAGGCCAGACCTTAAGAAACTGGCAGCTTCACATCCCAACTCTTTGGACACTCCTTCTTGGAACCGGGCCACCATGCTGTGAGGAAGCCTAAACCACTTTGTAGAGAGACAAACGTGGAGGAAAACCAACACTCATCACCAAGTGAGTGAACTGCCTTGCAAGTTGGAGCCTCCAGCCCCAGCAAAGATGAGCTGTCCCTGCCAAGCCCTGCTCAGATTGCAGAATGATGAGTAAGGTAAGTGACTGCTGTTGTTTGAAGCCACAACTGTCTTGGGGTGATTTTATTTAGCTGTAATAGATAAGCAGAACAGTCCGTATGTAATGTTACCAGCACTCCAAACTCACGTTTCCATAATATGTCTCATAGCAGCAGCACATTAAGCTACTCCAAGGGAGAACTTTCTCTAAGGAGCCCTCAAGTTTTTCTCCAATGTCACGGGCAATGGCCTTTGTCCCTCACCTCCTCTCCCACTCCGCAATTTAGGATAAAACTCTCTATTATAGAAAGATTCTGAGACCTACCTTCTGCAGTGTCTGCACCCCTCAGAGTTTGGATTTCTTGAGGAATCCAAAGTTTCTCTGAGCCACAGGCTGGACCCTTCCACAGACTCTCCTGCCTTGCCCTGGAGTGGTGTGGAGCCTTGGGGTGCAGGCTTCTAGGAATGGGATCAAAGCAACACTTGATCAGTCCACTGCTGAGTTGGCTCTTTCACTTGCCACAAGCTTAAGAAGGGGGGCAGACAAGGCAAGCCAAGGGCGGGGACGTGCAGCCCCCCCCGCCCCCCCAGCAGCTCCCTTCCACTCGGGCTCCATCTGTAGTCCTCCCCTCTCGGATCAAACCGGCCTGCGCCCGCAGCGAAGGGAACGGGTTTTCAGCAGGGCCTCCCTCGGTTCTGGGTCTTGCCTGTTGCCGAACGCCCTTCACTTGGGGAGCGAAAGAGTTAAGCCCCTCGCCCCCGGGGCCTGGAGGGGGCGGCGGCCGGGTGCGGTCTGGGGGGCAGGCCCGGGGGGGGGGGGTGCGGGGGGCGCTGCTGCGGCCCCGGGGCCGGGCCGACGGTCGGGGAGCGCGGCGCGCAGGGGGCCGGCCGCGCGGGGGCGTGTCCCCTGGAGTCTCCCGCGAGCTCGGCGCGCGCGCAGTCGTCCCCGTGGTCCGGCGGCCGCGCACAGCGGGCGAGAGGCTCGGTCCGCCGGCGGCCGCTGCGGCTCCGGGAGCTCCGGCGGGAGCGGGGCGGCGTGGGAGCCGGGCCGTGCAGCACCAGCGCTCGGCGGCGCTTCCTCGGGCGGCGCGCGGACCGGGCGGCTGTCGCCCCGCCGAGCCCCACGGTCGGTGCACCTCTTCCCGTCGGGGAGCGGGGGGGGGGTGGCCCTAGGAGGACAGCCGGGCGCCCCGCAGCCTGGCGCCCCCGCCCCGGGGCTGCCCCCCACCTGCCCGGGGCGCGCGGCGGGGCGGCGGGGGCTGCGGACCGGCCTCCGCAGGCGGGATTCGGCCTCAGGGCTCTGCCTGGGGCTCCCTGTCCCCGACGCTGCGAGAGCGTTGAGGAGCCTCACGCCCTCGGCGGCGGCCCCGCGGCGGCTGGTGAGGTTCCCTCGCAGCCTTTGCTCGCTCCGCGCGCGCCCGGGCCGCGCCGAGGGCTGGAGGGCAGGAGGGCGCGGGGCCGCGGGGAGGGCAGGGGGGCAGGCGGGCGCGGGGAGGGCAGGCGGGCGCGGGGCAGCGGGGAGGGCAGGCGGGCGCGGGGCCGCGGGGAGGGCAGGGGGGCAGGCGGGCGCGGGGAGGGCAGGAGGGCGCGGGGCCGCGGGGAGGGCAGGGGGGCGCGGGGCCGCGGGGAGGGCAGACGGGGGCAGGCGGGGAGGGGCGCGCCGGGGTCGGGGGACGCCCTCCTTCAAAGGGCACTTGTTGCGTTTCACGTGCGGAACACCCGGGCTGCGTGTAGATCTCCAGCCTCTGCGGACACCACCCTGGGGCAGTTCCCGGACAAGTCGGCGGCCGGCGGGGTGGGGGGCATATCAAAGTCGGGCGTCGTCCGGAAGGACAGAGCAGAGCCCGCGGCAAACTAGTAAAAGTTCTAGTTTATTTGTTTGGCTTCCCCCCCCCGCCCCCCCTCCCCTCCTCGTGTTGCTGTTCACGGCTTTCCCCCCACCTCGTAGCACCCCCCCGCCGCCTTAACTATGGAGAAACACCTTGGCAATCGTTTCAGTAAATTACCTGCTTTAAATTTATGCCATTTCGGTAAGATTGGAATTTCCAAATTACTAATTACAGGCGATCTTTAATCCTAAAAATCCAAGATGTTAAATGCTTACGGTGTAAGCCTAAGGATTCAGTCCTCTTCCTCAGTAACAGCTTTTGAACTCCACCAAATCCTCAGCCCCCAAATATGAAGAAGGCTGAATCTACAGCCCTTGGGCTGAACCCAAGAAGCTTCACTAGAGCTGGGTCTAGTGACTGAGGGTTTCAAGCACAGCATGACTTAGATCCATGGATTGGGCTACAGATTCATGCCTGGAGTAACATGTATTTGAGAGGCCTTTTTTGTTGTTGTTTGTTTTATTGTATTTTTCACCCAATGATAACATGATACCCACGCATCTTTGCCAAGTATCCCTTAGCCCTGCTGCTTAATACACGTAGAGGGGAATCCCTGGGTGGCTCAGCGGTTTAGCGCCTGCCTTTGGCCCAGGGCACAATCCTGGAGTCCCGGGATCGAGTCCCGCGTTGGGCTCCCAGCATGGAGCTTGCTTGTCCCTCCACTTGTCCCTCCGCCTGTGTCTCTGCCTCTCTCCTTTCTCTCTATCATAAAAAATAATAATAATAATAATAAAATACACGTAGAGAGCTGATGGAGATGTCATCAGAAATGATGTGCTCGCGGAGGAAGGAAAGTGGTTTTGATGGTTTTGAGGGTCACTAGCTCACCTCACACCTTGATAAGAACCCACAGCCTTGGCCTCCTTAGCTCCTACATCAACAGCCGACCAAGCAAACCAGCATGCTAATGTTCAACCACTAGTAGTACCTTTCCCCAGTCTCATAACGCCCATGATAGCCAGATCAGTTCACTAAATACTCTCCTAGTGGACTCTGCTGGGCAAAGAGCCACTTCGTTTCCAGGAAAGGCCTTCTTTCTCTTATTTTTTAAGGAAACATTGCTGAAGGGTCCATTCCAACCTGGAAACTGGGAGGCTTTAGCCATCAAATAGCACAAGGTATTGAAGGATTTCTTTTCTCCCATATCTGTGATCTGAAACGGAGAATGATGATATGCTTTGTTCTTAGAGTCCTGGTCTCCACTGTGGAATGCAAGTAGTGGCACTTCGTAGGTCTGTCAACATTCAGTCAGATATTTACTCCAAACTGTAAAAAGCAGGAAACCACTGCAAACTACTTGTAATTAGGCAGAGCAAAGAGAGGCATTATACCTGTCCTGCCACTTCTTGATCACGAAGCCTTAACTTCTTCAAGACTCATTTTCCTCACAGTTAAAATGGGAATATTGCCCCTGCCTACCTAGAGTTGTAAAGCTCAAGTCAGATAACAGGTGCATACATAATAAGCTATTAATATACATACGATGTCATTATTGTTTCAGGTTCCTGTGAAAAACCTCAGGGAAGGCAAAAGTATATGGTATTTGCACCTTGTACTTACTTCAGACCTTCCGTACGACCTGAATAAATCTTATTTCATCTACTTATTGTCGAAACCTAAGCTCTGTTGGTTTCCCAAGATAACTGTCCAAATTCTTAAGAGTGGTCAATACCAACCATAAATAGATCAAAAAATGGGACACAATTTTTAAAAATTAAATTATGACCTGGGCATATAAATCATAGACACATGCCATTGCATTAATGATCTTACGGTCTTCATTTAAAGAATCATTAAAAACTCACAGAGAAGAAAATTCACAAAATATTTAAAGGGGAAGAGCCATTTTTTAAAATTTACCTTTGATTGCTGTGTGACCAGCAACTCCCTCAATTACCCCAGCATCTTTACTTTAAGGATTGAAGTAGAAGTCTAGACTTTCTGAACAAGAAGGGCCACTTGGCTCTCTGCAAGTCACTTAAGCAGAAACAACAAATGATCTTTTGAAAACATGTAATCACCCTCTCGAGTCTATTGTTTCATCGAAGCTCTGGAACTTCCGCTGAAACATTTTGGGCCCTAAGACTGCTAAGAATGAGTGATGGTGTGGTCCAGTGGCTAAATGCTCAGGATCAGAGTCAGACTAACCTGCCTGATAATCAGCCTTGCCACTACCAGCTGTGGACTTAACAGGCTACTTGCCTTTACTGAGCCTCTGGTTCCCAATGTTTATAATGGAACTAATCGTGTATCACAGGACCATGGGATACATTAGAGAGCATCTTGCATGTGAAGTACTCAGTGCAGTGGGAGTTATAAATGTAGCTGTATAGGATGTTTAAAAGAGCACATGGGACAGATGTCCCTTGGAAAGCCGAATACTGTACCTGGCCTGAAAAAGCCATTACTCCCAGTTTCACTCATTGGCAAATATCATGATAATGATCTCTGAGGAATGGAAAAGGAAAAAAGTTCCAGTCAGGTGGAGTATACACATCAATCACCAAGATTTTCAGTAAAATAAATATCTTGTCTTTGTCAATTATGTAATTTTTCATTGAAACTAAGATATTGTTAAAGGTATTGATGGAGTTAACCAGAGTTCTGATTTTTAAAAGAGCGTTTTATAACACTTTAAACTTGGCTACGTGTGCTACATTTTATTCTCACGTTCATTATCATGTGCCAAACGGAACACATTTTGGAATATTAAATTGTTAATTACAGAATTGGTTAATTTTTAGTCTTAATACCATGTGCCTTCTACTTGGCAAATAATGCCTTTTCTCTTCCATTAATAAGTGACATTTTGTAACTCTTGAAGATTTTTGTAACTCAGGTTCTTATCAGCCTAGTTGAAACAGAGAGAAAAAAGTAACTTTTATCTACTAAAGGAAAAACTGGCATATCCTCATCCATATCATAATCTAGATAAAAGTATAGCTATGGATGGAGATGAGGGAGGGAAAGAGGAGAAGGCAGAGAGGCAGAGGGACAGAGACTGAGATAGAGAATTTGCCATAATGGAGCTTTTGTCTTCTCTCTCTCTTTTTTTTTCCTGCCATGAGATAACCTGACACAGATTATTTTATCTAATTACCAAATATATACTACTTTTTACTTGAAGTAGTAAATAATCATTGACTATAATTTTATTGGCAGCTGGACTTTGTAACCAAGATTATTTTTCCTCCTTTCTTTTCCAGGTGAAAAAAAAAAGTGTGGGTATAAAGGCAACGCAATAAGAACCCTTTCCTCAGATTTGCATCACGATGGAAACCTTTTGTCTCAAGGTGACCTTTTGGGTAGCGCTGGTTGGATATGTAATCGGTGATCATCCTGAGAGCTACAGCACAAACCTAAGCACTCCAGTGGATTTCACCACTTTTCGTGGGACAGAACTCAGCTTCCTGGTCACCACTCATCGACCCACTAATTTGGCCCTACCTAGCAATGGCTCAATGCACAGCTATTGCCCACAGCAGACTAAGATTACTTCAGCTTTCAAATACATTAACACTGTGATATCTTGTACTATTTTCATCGTGGGAATGGTGGGGAATGCAACTCTGCTCAGGATCATTTACCAGAACAAGTGTATGAGGAATGGCCCCAACGCACTGATAGCCAGCCTTGCCCTTGGAGACCTTATCTATGTGGTCATTGATCTCCCTATCAATGTGTTTAAGGTAGGAAGTAACCATGAATATATTTGCAGGTTTGAACATATGCTCTGATTCCACAGTAAGAGAGTTGCTGCAGACCTTTGGAATTTTAGTCCATGTTTTTACTGAAAGTGATTTCTGCAACCTTCAAACTCTGTGGCATTTAAAATTTTTATCATTAGTTAAATGTTACATTCACCTGGTAACTCAGTTGTTAACAAAATCCGATTTCTGGGATGACTATTCAAAGTCATGGTCTTTAACGAAGCAGATTCTTATGCCAGCCCTCAGCTTGCTGAGTGGATGGGCAATCTTGGGAAGCAACTGGATTTTTCTGAGATTTGGTTTGCAGGGTGAGATCTACTGAGCCCAGGTAGTACTTACAATGAGTATCTCTTCAGTTGTCATTACCTTTGTAAGGTGCTGCCGTTCAGCAGCCAAATATCCATGGTACATCTTGAAGTGAAAAGTACCTATTTTCTTTTGACTATCTGGATTGATGATGGAAGCCAAAGGGCATGCTAGCTTACCTCAGTGACCTGGGTGACTTAGAGACGACGGGGTCCACGTGTTCGCGGGCTATTGCTAACCTTGTTGAACAGTGTCACTAAAGCTCTTTAAAACAGGCATCTGTTTATTGTCACCCCCTTCGTTTTCTTTGGTATATGCAGTTTTTATGAAGGAACCACTGTGTGTCCAACCCTGAGTGAGGAAGGAAGGATTCTGAGACAAATTAGACAAGGTTGGGGCTTCAGCGGGAGAGGTAGATAACCCACTGTCGCTGTGATCACCTCACCTCAGGGACTGCTTAGTATCAAAAAAAACTCAAGCCAGAAGGAGTTAGGTATTTCATATTTGGTCTAGCGGTTATGAGGGAAAATGGTTGTAGGAATCCAAATAACCTAAAATTCAAGGGAAATCATGTGGTCTGTGCCAGATGTTACAAAATGTCTTTATTCTAAGCCCAGCCTTTATTTTTTTTCTTCTATGTATTATCCATAAGAACAAAGCTATTCTGAGCAATAATATTCTGCAATATGACTTTAAATGGCAAATTTTGTCTGAAGACCTGATAAATTTTAAGTAAGTCTTGCGGTTACACTTAAATGGCAAAATTATACTTGCCTGCCTATCAGGAAAAGCAGCCACACAGTGAAGTCCTAACAATATAGCCAAAAACAGTGATTACAATCTTGAATATTACAAATAAAAAACATTCCAGAATTACTCCAATATACTGTTTGCAAAATTGGGGAAGTTAGACAAAAATGATTTTAAAAAATATACCATATCTTTTCACAGAATAACATGAAAACATGTTTTTATTTGAGATTGTATTTATTTATTCATGAGAGATGCAGAAAGAGCAAGAGACACAGACAGAGGGAGAGGCAGGCTCCCTGCGGGGAACCCAAGGTGGGACTCAATACCAGGACCCTGGGATCACAACCTGAACCAAAGGCAGATGCTCAACCACTGAGCCACCCAGGTGCCCCGAAAACATACATTTTCTATTTGAACTTAAAATGGGATTTTAGAACTGAACTATGATGCAAAATGAAAATGTGTAAGTAACTTAAAATGTTTAGCACATGCTACAGAACTTTAATTTTTTGAAGGTTATTCATTTTTTCTTTATGAAATATTACATGTAAATACTTGACTTTCTCATGATATCTTTCTTTAATAATAGATTTAAAATCTTTATATGACTCTTATTCAAAATTTGGCTCCAGTCAAAAATATAAAATACAAAAAATACAAAATACAAATACAAAAATACAAAAAATACACTGTAGAGTATCAAATGTTGATTATTCACACATATACACTAGTTACCCAACCCAGCAGGGCTCAGGAGAATAATTATCTCTGAATTAACTATTCCCATTTGACCATTTGCAAAGAAACTTTTTGGAAAGTCATTATCTACAACTGCTGGGCAGGAGACTTCCTTATCTCTTTGAGGTGCCACCTGCCAATCACTAGACTAAATGTCATTTGTATTCCATAGCAACATTTGAAATCAGATCATCTGGAATATCTCCAATTGGTGAAAAAATCAAATAAAACTTTGTTTTACCTTCATATAACAATGGATAATAACTTAGACGTCCTCATTTGACCATATGATTCATTCTTCCCTCTTGGGAATCCAATGCTTAATATATTTTATTGTAGTTCTAAATAATGTGGACACTTTGACAGTTTTTACACCACAGGAGTAACTTTGTGTAGTTTCTGGTTTTCTAAAACTCATGTAATGAGTCATTTAATCAATATTCATTTTAGGAAGTAAATCTTTTGAGTTAAAAAATATATATAAGCTTTAGTTATTTTAATCTTCTTCCAGAGGAAAAGAAGAAAACATGCGAGTAAGCTAGAAAGCCTCACAGTATTGGGGGGTTATTCCTACTCATTCTGTCAGTCTCTTCTCTAAGTTAGGAGACCATAAGATGATGCAGTTTCCCTGATTTCTGCCCAGGACAGTCCAGGGAAATCCTTCCAAGCAATGTGAGCTCTGGGCCCTCATGCCTTTTGTTGGCAGCTGCTCCTGCTTTAAGATTCTAATGCTTTGGAGCCTCACATATCAGACCTGTGGATTCCTCTGACCATGGCAAGCTGCCCTGTGTTGCAGGACAAAGTAGCAGCTGTCCATCTCACTTTACCATTTTGTTTGGTACTGAGTGGCTCTTGATGGTCTGTGAACAGGGAAGAAGGGGTCATTCTACACCTGATTTCCAAAAGTTTCCTAATTGATCTATCTTCAGACCAGCCTCTACTGGTCTTCACTTCCACCTACTGAGTGTTGCTTTAATAAAAAACACCAAAAAGTTCACATGTATGGTATTCAAGATCTTCCCTACTCTGACCACACTTCACCTACTTCTTACCAGCTCCCAATATGTATACACAGCTCTGGTCAAAAATGCCATCACTACCCCAAAGTAAATAACATTCTCAGAGAGGCTACATCTAGTCACTGAATGACTGCTGCTGAAGCATATATAGATCCTAAATGGGAAAAAATGAGCCTGGAGATATATGTTGCAGAGAGAAGAAATAAGCCAAAAAGTAGAGAGAGACTCCTCTGGCCCTGGCTTATACCTGCACACACAGGTAAGCTCCCTGGTAATACAATCAGAAAGTCTGAGACAATAAAATGTAAAGCAGAAGGAATCAAAGGAAGCAAATAAATGCCACTTACCTTGTTGGTTTTGGAGCATATAAGGGCCTTCCAAATGGCAGTGTTGAAGAAAAGATTGCTAAGTTTATCAAAGGATTAACTCTAATTTTTAGTTATGCAAAAAGCAGAACATCAGTAATTACATGAGAAGACTAACAAAAACAGGAGAGAGGAGGGAGTTACAGACTCCTTCAAATATACACACTTGTAACCTAAACTGATGATGGATTTGATTTGTCAAGAAATTGAATTTTCTCATACATGAATTTTCAAGAAATGCACAAACTTAGCCAGTAAATTAATCTGTATATAAGTTGTTTACATTCACTATAATGGCAAAAACAATTTAAACATTGTATCTGTGTTTAGGGTCTCAACCTCCAATTACTAAATGCCAAAATATATTAGAAGTACAGAATCCAATAACTGTACTCTGTAATGATTCATGAGATTCTGTTAATGCCCTGAAGTGTTATCTATAGGAAGATGGATTATAATTTTGAATACAGTGAAAACCCTAAAAATGATGTTTGTGCATGGGTAAGCCAAAGTTTGCCATCATGTACTTTTAGGATAACAGTTCACCCATACGTGCACATGGATATGCTCATAAACCACTGTACCTCAGCCCAATCAGTAGAAACAGGAATGTGGGGAAACATGTTTATGACAGAAGTAGATTGGAGAGGGTTAGAATGATGGCCCATGAAAGAGAGAAGAAGGTAAGCCCAAAGGCTAGCATAGAAATCTCTGATGTGCATAGCTGGGAGTTGAAACCAGTGATGTCGTAGATAATACTGTAGGTGAATGAGGTCTCCATTCAGTGTGTGGGGTAAAAGCTAACTAGCCAGTGACAGACTCCAATAACTGATTGTTGGTTACTAATTTGGTCCACTCTAAGAATCCACCTCTTATTGAGGACAACAATGAAAAATAAACAAATACAATTTCTGTTTGAAATTATCAGGAATATTTTGCAATGGAAAATCAAGACTCAATATGTTGCTCTGGCAGAGGATCTGAGCAATGTGGAAACCAGAGATGTTCACTTAGAGCCAGTTATCTCCATGTTCACACAGCCTTTGACATCTTGTGCAACTGGAATCCATTCTTTTTTGGGGCAGCCATACAAAAGTTGTTTCTTGACACATCAGATCACCAAGGCAACTCCTGTCTCAAAAATAAATGGCCACAACTTATGGATTGTGTGTCTCAAACAAAGTAGTTAGTTGTTCAATAAGTGCTTATTGATATGATCTGATTTATTAGGGTCTTTACTGTTAAAATTAACTTCTAATCAGATTTCCCAGAGATCTTCAAGTTAAAATATTGATGGTGATGACGATAATGATGATAATTTGTCACAGGAAATCTCCATTTATGTACAAGATACAGGATATTACCCATGGTAATATTCCCCCAAATTGATCAAATTATTCACCAAATTATTGCATATATGATAACAGTGGTGTTTTCCTTTTACTCCTCATCAAACAAATAAAAGCAGATCTTTCTCATGCACTCCAGTAATAGTGCTATAACCATAAAATTAGGAATAAAAACTGTATTCCCTGAATTTTGCAAAAAAAAAAAAAAATGTGTCCCTTGACTAAGATCTCTGCCCGTTGCATCCCAGCTAAACATTTCCTGTGGGGTGGCTCTGACCCTGCCTTCCCTCCTGGCACTTCTCTGCACACTTTCCCTCCATTCACTCTAGCTTAACCTTGCCTGTCTGAGAATAAATACCAAGATGATCTTTCTACCTGGCATATTTTTCCTCATGCCTCTTCCAACTTATCCCACTTGATTCTTCAGATCTCCACCTAAACGTTTATCT